TATTACATATGATGTTTATATAGATACAGATATATGTTATCTCCCTTGATAGAATATTAGCTCCTTGATGGCAGGAACAGTTTCTTTTTTTATCTTTGTACACCTCAAGCCTAACAGTGTCTGACACACAATGGGTATTTAATAAATGCTTATTGATTGATTTATTGATTGAGGGGGATTGCTAAACAAACTGAATTGTGTATTTCCTGGAACTTCTGGCTTTGGAGATCATATTGTATTGGGGAGGCCTAGATCTGGGAGAACCTGCAGGTACATAGCTGCTCAATAGATTGTCTATATTATTTATTTCTTTTATTTATTCTATCCAGAAAGAGTAAAACACTGTATGCAATTAGGCCTTTCTGTCCATATGGAAGATTGATTCCAACATGCCAAAACTAATGTGCCTGGGCTTATTGAAATATCACAGAAATTCAGGAAGCGAAGACTCAGGGTTAATTCTAATTGGGTAAATTCACACTAACAACATTCGTTAGTTACCCAGAGCATTGTAGAGCTAGAGAATAGATGGTCACTCACTACCCGACCATCTCAGAGGGCTTTGAATTTTCCCAATCTCCTCACTCCTCTTCAGTGATATAGTATATATAACTGACAAGGACTTCAAGGGCTAGGTCACCTTAGGTGAATAGGATCAATTTAGTAGCTAGCAATGTTAACCTGTGATTTATCTATGCCTTTATTGAAGACCTCGATAAAAATGTCAAATGGGGGCAGCTAGGTGGCACAGTGGATAGAGCACTGGCCCTGAAGTCAGGAGGACCTGAGTTCAAATATGACCTCAGACCAAACACTTGACACTTACTAGCTGTGTGACTTTGGGCAAGTCACTTAACCCCAACTGCCTAAAAAAAAATGTTAAACAGCAGAAGGCTAAATACAAATACCTAAGGCACTCCACTGGAGTCCTCCTTCCACATCAACATGAAACCATTAATGACTACTTTTTGGGTACAACCATTCATCCACCTAATATATTACTATCTAGCCCAGAATACTCTGGCATTAAAAATATGTGCATTTACAAACAGTGTAGGGTTCGTATTGGGAAAAAGTCCTAAAATACAGTAATAAGTGAAAAGCCATAAAAACTTAAACTCTGTGAAAAGTGGAAGCCTGAATATGTTGACCTGTTTACAATCATAACTTACATACTAAATTATATTTTAAGCACCAAGTCAAAACTTAAGATACCATGACCTATGAAAGCCAAAACAAGAATATTGTGACCTATATGTGACCAGGACATGATCGATACACAAACTTTGTTTGGGTATAACATTGGCTTAACTCCCAAGCTCATTACTAAGCAGAAAATCAAAAATATCCACTAATCAGCAGTGATTCACTCTCTAGCCCCTCCTGCCTTTGTCTGTTTTCTATAATTATCACAGGGATTTGGGGGGTTCTTTAGCAGGGATCCACAAAACTGGCCACCACTGCAGACTGAAGATTGCCCCTGTTTGTAAGTATTCGTAATGATTGAGCAAACCACTACCTATAATCAATCTAGGGCTCCATGGCCTCTTCCTTTGGTATCAAAAGAATATCCCACAGTTAGGGCAGGAGGTACAGTATCACCAGCTAGGGGAATTCTAGACCTTACAAATGGTAATGTCAAAAAAAATCCCTCATTAGACCTGTTCCCAATGCATGTTGTATCTTCGGTGACTATCTACCTTACCTTCATTTCAGCTCTGTTCTAAATTAACCTGTGTTCCAAAAAATGTCAAAAATTGAGGTAGGGATTGTTTTCCAATGCCTCCCTATTTTTCCTTAAGTTCTAGACATAGGTAACTTTCTTGACTCTGTCCTACCACTTTTTTCAGTCTATTAAGATATTTTAGAATCTTGTTTTATCATCCAATGTATTAACTTGCATTACAACTGAAATCTCTTCCATCTGTAGAACTACCCCTCCTAGCTTTATATCAAATTATATAAGCATGCTGCCAAAATTTTTACCCGTCTTTGATAAAAATACCAAGCAGGACATGGTCAAAGACAGAACATTTATTTCACTAATCAGCACTCTGTGTATATAGATCTGTAGTGTGGTAGAGTAAAAAAGCACTATGTTAAAAAAAGTTAAAGATCTTTATTATTAACCTGAACTCTGCCTCTTAGCGCCTGTGTGACCTTAGAGGTGAGTAATTTAAGCTCTTTGGGTTTCAGTTTCCTTTTCTTTAAAGCAAAACAATTGGACTAGGGGCTCCAGGGGTCCCTAGACCCTTTCAGGGGCTCTGAAAGGACAAAACTATTTTTATATTAATAAGATATTTTAGTTTAGAAGATAGCAAATATCAATAGACACGACCCATATAAACAAAAGCTCTTGTGGGGGTCCTCAGTTTTTAAGAGTGTAAAGCCCCAAAAGTTTGAGAATCACCAGACTAGATATCTAAAGTCCCTTCCAATTCTAAAGTCCATGGTCTTATGAATTCACATTGGCTTTACTCACTTTTAGTCCATACTTCATGTTTTCTACAAGCATATCTGAAAGAAAGGCAACATAGTAGGGTAAGAACTGGCCTTAGATTTGGAATGACCTAGGCTCAAGTTTTGCTTCTAAGACACATACTCAGGGAGAACAACTGTGGGCAAGTCATTTAACTGTCCAGTGCCCCTGGCAACTCTCTGACTAAAGATTGCAGAACTGTTGTCAATCTGCTCTATTAGAGGAAAGTCCTTCCCAGGAGCTTCCTTTGTTGTTGAATCATTTCAGTTGTGTCTCACTCTTTGTGACTCCATTTGGGGTTTTCCTGGCAAAGATACTGGAGTGGTTTGTCATTCCCTTCTCCAGCTCATTTTACAGATGAGGAATTGAGGCAAATGTATTGTGACTTGCCCAAATTCACACAGCTAGTGAGTGTCTGAGGCCAGATTTGAACTCAGGTCTTTCCTCCTGACTCCAGGACCAGGGGTCTATCCACTATGCCACCTAACACCAATAAAATCAAAAGGCCAAACCAAAATTGAACCACATTTCTCCATTCAAATGCCCTTGACATCATCTTCCATTCTCTTTTCCTTTTCTGTCTCTGACATGAGATGGCCATTTTCTTTGCCAAGGCCAAGGCTAATCCCTCTATGTATGCCCTTGATTCCTTCCCATTCTGTCTTCAAAAGCAGATAACAACCTCAATCAGGTCTCCTACCCCAATCTTCAACTGCTTCCTATCTACTGGTGCCTCCTCTATTACCTTCAAATATAACCAAGTCTCTCCCATCCTAAAAAACAACAAACTTTTCACTAGACTCTACCATATCCTCAACCTAACATCTTATATCCCTCCTCACTTTCTCGAACTCCTAGAAAAAAAATTGTCTATACTCATTGCCTCCAGTTCTCTTACTCCCTTACTAACCTTGTGCAGTGTTGTTTCTGACCTCAATACTTGACTTAAAAGACTTTCTCCAAAGTCATCAATGATCTCTTAATTGCCACTCATACTTTTTAATACTGTCTGCATACTTCTTAACCTACCTGCTGCATTTTACACAAGTGACTATCCTCTTCTCCAAAATTCTCTCTCTTCTCTAGACTTTCATGAAGCTTTCTCTTCCTGGTTCTCCTCATGCCTTTCTAACTGCTCCTTCTTAATCTCCTTTGCTAAATCATTATCTAGTTCCAGCACATGCATGTTCCCCAGGATTCTGTCCTAGGTCCCCTACCCTTTTCTTTCTGTACACAGTCTCTCAGTGACACTTTCACCTCTATCTTGATGATGCCCATATCTATCTATCTATCTATCTATCTATCTATCTATCTATCTATCTATCCTGCACCAGAATCTCTAGAACTACAATCTTGCATCACTAATTGCCTATTTCCCATTGGATGTCCTGGAGACATTTCAGATTCAACATATCCAAAACAGAATTCATTTTTTTTTCCTCCAAAACCTACTACTCTTCCAAACTTCCCTATTTCTGTTGAAGGCACCATCATTCTTCCAGTCTCTCATGTTCATAACCTTGGTGATCATCCTTGACTTCTCATACCACATATCTAATCATTTGCCAAATCTTGCCATTTCTACTTCTACTTCCACATCTTTCATATGCAACCCTTTCTCTACTTATACAGCAACCACTTCAGTTCAGACCTTCATCACCTCTTGCCTAAGTTATTGAGACAGCCTTCTAATCCTCAAGTATCTTTCATCATTCCAGTTCCTCCTACATGCTGCTGCCAAAGTAATTTTCCTTAAATGCAAATCTGACCATGACATTCCTCTATTCAATAAACTTTGGTGGCTTTCTAAAGTCTCTAGAATCAGATATAAACTCCTCTTTTTAGTTTTTAAAAACCCTTTGCAACCTTTTCCCAAACTGCAATGTCAGCCTCATTGTTCATTACTCCCTCTCCCACACTGTATGATTCACTGAAACTGGCTTTCTCTCTGTTCCTCACAAATAATATTCCTATATCTCCATGTGTTTGCACTGATATCCTATATGCCTGGAATGTCCTTCCTCCTTGCCTCCATCTCATTAAATCCCTTCTACATTAAATACCACCTTCTACAAGAAACCTTTCCTGATTCTCAAACTACTTTGTATTTAACTACTTTATATTTCTTCTGTATATATTTATATATCTTTGTAGTCTCCACTCCACATTGTAAGCTCCTTGTGAGTTGGGATTATGTCATTCTTTGTACTTGTATCCTCAGCATTTAACATAGTGCCTGGCATAAGTAAGTGCTTAATAAATACTTGTTGACTAATTGACCTTATTTGCAAGCATATCATGAAAGGCTTTGTCAGATACGTTGCTGAAATGTTGATAAAATATCTATAGAATTCCCCTGATCCACCTGTAAAGATGTGAGGTTGGGGGAGGGCAGCTGACCCTCTCTCCAATCCCGGCAGCCAGGAAGCCATGGGTAAATGTCATCTAAATTTCACATGCTGCCTCTGTAAGCATGATCTTGTATTTTGAGCCTTTTCCCTGTATTTTTTCCTCATCTTAGGTAAATGAACATCAGTCTTGAGATGGATTGTCCAGATTTTGAGATGAACTTCTGAGTTTGAGAAGTCTGGAGGTCCTAGGTCCATCTGATGGACCTGAATGATGACAAGAGGAAGAGTCCCCTATGTCCACTCCAGTCCTCTTGAAGCAGATGACCACCAACAAGAGGATGAGTTCAAACCTTCATCCATCTTGTCAGAAGATACCTACTATGAGGAGTACAGTGCAGAGCCAAGATGAAATGTGAGATAGATGCTTTTGAGTCCTGTTTTATATTTGATGTTTCTTTTATGTGTAGGAAATAAATGATTCATATTGTGCATTGAGTACTTTTACACTTTCTCCACCTTTTAGGAAAATCTTAGATGTGAACTAAAACCTAAGCTTTGCATAAATCATCCCCAGGGTGCCATAACAAACTAAAGCATGTGAAAAAAGGGAACCCTGACCATCTCACTAGAAGTCAGACTCCCCAAAGACTTCTGAACTCAGTCTGGATCAAATGCATGAATCCTGATCAGAGAGGTCTCTTAGAGGAAAGGGAGCTTGCCTCAACCCCATTAAGCCCTGTAGCAGTTATTAATGTCAGAAAAATAAGAAATCTAAGAGCCCAAGAAGTTACTTTATTGCCCAGGTTCACAGAGTAAGTTGGTGGCAGAGCTGGGAATTAGAACACAGTTCTTCTGATATCCTCTCTCCCTCTCTCTTTCCATTACCATACCTATTTCCATCATGTCACACACACACACACACACACACACACACACACACACACACACTCCCAATACACTCTGCTTTAGGAAAGTTTCTTTCCACATGTTAATTAGGCCCTTGACCAAAATTACCAGTTAATTTTACCAGGGCTACTTCCCAAATGGCAAAGATTTTTGGCTTCTACCAACATAGAAAAACCTAAAACAATGACTATTCAAAAAAGGTTCCCATGCTCTTCTCTCACCTTGTTGTTCATGTCCAATGCTTCATGACCTCATTTGGGGTTTTCTTGAAAGATATAGTGGAGTGGTTTGCCATTTCCTTCTCCAGCTCATTTTACAAGTGAGGAAACTGAAGCAAACAGGGTTAAACAACTTGCTCAAGGTCATGTGGGCCAGGCATGAATTCTGGAAGACAAGTTTTCCTGACTCCAGACCCGGCACTGTTTCCACTGTGTTACCTAACTGCCCTTTCTCACCTTGACCTCTGGAAAATTGGAAAAGTGCTCCTTATTCAGAAAAGACTTCACTTAATTTATGTCCATGACATATTGAAAATTAGAGAATGAAATGAAATCATCCTCCCTCCCTGCATCTCCCAAAGGCCTTGGTTGGCAAGAGAACATTCTGAGAAGAGATGAGAAACTGTTCAATAGTTTATTTTTAATTTGGTCTGCTGGTGGAATTGTTTTAGTCTCTTTCTGAAATGTTGTCTCCTTGTGAGCAGTTACCTTGAGGGATTCATGAGAAAGTAGGAAACAATTGCTATTCAAACATGAGCACATCATTTTGAATGGAAAGACTGGATGGGGTTTATTTTATTCTCAGTGTTTGGGCAGCTCACTCTTACTGTTCATTCCAAAGGAGACTGATGGGGGAGATGGCTGATAGTTATTGTTTTTATTGTGTTTAATAAAAATTTTAAAACCTTACAAAATACAACGAAGCTGGCTTTCAAACATAAGTCCTGCTGTTCTCCACCTCCTTCCTCCCCACCACCTCAAAAACACAAAAGTATTTGGAAAACCTTGTGCTAGATGGCTGGTCCAGCTTTATACTTGGGAGTGTTGAACTAGCTGCCATTTAGTGGACTGACTAGCTATTATTTCAACTGGGAAGGCCATAGAACAGGTACAGTTTGAGTTATGATCAGCATATCTGTGTGTGTCTGTGTCTGTGTGTCCATGTGTCTATGTGTCTGTGTTTCCCCATGAATGACTAGGTCATAGATTCTGGGGTTTGTCACTGGACAAAGGCCCAGGTTAAATAAAGCCTATTCTATATTCAATGGCTTATTAGCCTGAGTACTTACATGAGACCTGAGGGCTGGCTATCTTTTCTGTAGAGACCTAGACAATAGCCAAAGTCTAATTTTCCCAGGGGAAACCCTAGACAGGAACACAAATCAAAGGAAGTGATTTGTGAGAGATATTTCCCAGATTGAGCCTGGTCCATATAAATCCATATTGTTGGTTCTGGATCCTATGTTATACAAATATACTAAAAATGTTTCAATTTTTATTTATCTAATTAAGGGGGTGTGTGTGTGTGTGTGTGTGTGTGTGTATGGAGGGTATAGAGTAGGAGGAGTTGGGGAAGGCAGAAGGAAGAGAATATTGGAAAGATAACAAAGAGGATAGAAAAGAAATACCTGAGGGCAAATGTGGAAAAAACAACAACAACAACAACAAATATTCATGGAGAGAAAAAGAGGAGAGGGAGAGGAAGAAAAAGAGAAGCAGAAATACTGATACGAGGCGAGGCGAGAAAGGTACAGAGGAGAGAGGCTCACAGGGAGGGAGGCTGAGTAGGTTTTAAGATTTTATTTGGTGGTAACCCCCTGCGGTTCATTTGTCCCATGAGTTCCGAAATGTTATTACAGTACCTAGAATCTATTGCCCTTTGAAACACTGATTATATTGAATCTCATCATTCACAGTTCTAATCCTTAAATAGTTACCAATCTAACACTCAATTGCAACCAATTAAATAGTTAGAAGCCTTATTCTGAATAGAATAATCAGAGTAGTTCACTAGAGGTGGAAATTACTCATAAACTATGGCTTTATTGACATAAACACACCATCCCAAGGGCCAAATGAGATTAAGACATTCTCTATCTGAGATAAATGTTTGTCTCGGAGGTTCTTATGTTTTGTAGTGTTGTTGGAGCAGGGGGAGTGGGAGCCTCTCTGTTGTAAGTATCGCTGCTGCTTCTTCTTCCTGCTGGATAAAAGTGTTGCTCTTTGTAGTTTTGACCACTGGGTTTTCCAAAAGGTTTCCTTGATACAGACATAGAAACATAATGGAGGGGTGGGGAAACAAATGAGGTGTTTGCCTCAGGCAAAGGACAGTTAAAAAAGCTGAAGGTGTGTGTGTATCTTTGTATTCCTATGTCTATATCTGTATCTATATACAGCTGCAACATTCGTCTCCCATCTCAAGCATGTAGGGATGGAGGTTGGATGTCAACATTTTACATTCTTATTTCAGATGCAAAATTAGCTAATTATGGTGCCATGAAGAAGCAGGTCAGGAGCAGGCCTGGGTCACACTTAGAGAGCCATAGAGGGAATATGACACCAGCTTCCTACATCTAAGTTAATTTGTTTTTGCTACACTTGATGAAATATTAAGCCCTATTTTTCTCAGTGCTTAAACCACTTCCTGGAGTTAAATTTGTACCCAGGCTGTCACTCTTTCATACTATTAGAGTACAAACTTACCACCAGAGAATTAACTTTTGTTAATGTGAGTGTTCTCCAAAATTGCCCCCAAGCTTCCCTTTTTCCCTGTTTCCCTGAAAGTGACTCAAGTAGAATCTTTTGATGTACGGTACAGAGAACAGCTGGGTTAAATGGACAGTGCTCCTACATTTTCTATTCAGGATATGAAAATGGTAGAGGATGAATGAAAGGGCTCATAGATCTTTGGTATTTGGTATTTTCTATCTCATTGCTTGAAGCAATTCCTAATCACTTTAGCAATGCTTTATCTGGAATCAGGCAATTAAAAAAAGTGTTCATCCTTTTCAGATACAATTTTTGAGAAAGTGATAACAATTCAGCAGTTAGTAGAAATGGAGGAGTAAAGTAATATATCAAGTTCACACTGCATCTCTTTTGCTTTTCCATTTTCTGGAACGAAATAAAGGGCAACATATTAATATGGGAGACATGTCATTTTCTTTAACCCAAGAACTGCTTCAAAGAAATAATTCCTTTAATATAAACTTTAGATGCAGTAAATTGACCTATATAAGGGAAATTAATTCCCTATATATATTCCTTGTCATCTATATAAGCAACTGAGGTATATATAATCAGTAAGACTACATAAAACAAATATGACTAATTAAATACTTAATTTTAATATTAGGCTTTCAGATTTGGCTAAAGTTAAATCTTGGGAAAACAAAGTAAGTTTGCTGGACTGAATTGCATATTTTTAGCCAAATATTTTAAGGAATTTGGGGGACATTCCTTGAGATAATTGTAAAGACACTATGATATCATCATTATCATAATAGCCACCATTTATATAGCACTTTAAGGTTTACAAAGCACTTTGCAAATATTGTCTCATTTTATCCTCACAACAGTATTATCATCTACATCTTGTAGATGGGAAACTGAGGGAGACAGAGGTTACATGATTTGCCCAGGGTCACATAGCTAGTAAGTGTCAGATTTCAGATTTGAGCTCAAATATTCCGAGTTCCAAGTCCTGCTCTCTAGCCACTGCTCAACCTCTCCCCAAAAAACATAGTTTGGAGTCATTGTTTCAGGAGTTTGGGATTGAATTTCAGGTGATAAAGATAGCAACATAAAAAAGGGGCACTTAATAAAAATTGAGTCAAAATATTTACTAAGTGTTCATTAGCGTATAGAGGAGAAAATAAAACTTCCTTCCATCCTTGTCCATCTCTTCCATCTCTGTGGGTCCTTGGCTGCTTAATAAGTCATATGCAATGGAAATTTAGCCATTACTCAAAAGAAACAAAACCCTTTCCTAAGCAAAATCTCACTTATTGTGCTTTCTCCATGGTGTTGAAAACTCTCACAATGTTAGATTCAGAACCTTGCACATTTGGGTTTTTTTTTGCCAAATTTAGATATGTCCTAATTGCGTATTAAAGAGGTGATAATAAGGAGAGGATGGGAGAGAATTTTAATAAGTACAAGACAAGTTATGGGAAATTGACCATTAATCAACTGGAAGTTGAGGCCATCGCATTTAAGGTCTTGCAACAGTTAAAAGATCAATTCCCATAGGCCGTGCAACTTACACTATCACTTCCATAATCCAAATAGAAATGGTTCAGGGTACTTACAAAGTCTTCTAGTGTAGCCAGCGGAGCTTGTAACTTCTATGATACAAATTACTCTGGATAAGGGCCTTTAAGAGCTCAGCCAGCAGACAAGAAGGTTGTAACTCCTAGGATAGAAACAGCCACAGCTGAAAGGATTTCTAAAGTTCTTGTTAGCCATGTGATAACCAGACATGGTGGCTCTAACTCCCATGATAGAAACAGGTACCATTTATAAGAAAGGCTTACACATTTACCGCATCAATTTAGTATTACGAGAGCTAGAAGCATTTTGAAG